ATTTTCTTCAGACAGCAGAGTTCTGGCTTCTGAGAATCTATGAATAGATCAAATGCAGAGCTTTGTTGAATCATTTTTCAGCCATAAAAGTGTAGGAGTGTGGAGTTAGATAACATCTAATTGTCCAGAGATTTTTGAAGGTAAGTCAGCATGACTTGGCAAAGGATATGATTTTTAAAAAGTGGACGTTTGTTAATGTTGTTCTGTTTAGAAAGGTAAAAAGGATTTTGGAGCCATCCTTGGGACTTGGGTTCCCCTCTAACCCCTTGAGCCATGCGATTTGGGTAGTGGCCTTGAGCCTTGAGCCTGCACACTGCTGTCTCCCTCCTTGCCAGACGGTGGACAAGGCTGAGGGAGATCATGTTGGACAGGGTCCAGGGACTTTGGTTCCGTCCCCTTCGCTGGGATTCGGGAGAGCATCGGAGATCCTCAAATGCGACAAAGGCTTGGGACAGGCTGCATCCGAGGTGCTGGTGAGGATGCTGGCCTGGGAGTGGGGTGGGCAGAACAGAATTTGGGGCTAGAAAGAAAGTGAAAGCACAAAGCAAAAGGCGGGCTTTTTCTATATAGTACTGACGGCTGGGATATGCCTCCCTTTTGGACATAACTAAAATGCTCCTTGACAGGCAGAGATCGTGTTCCGTAAACCCTCCATGAATTGCAGACAGTATAGCCTCTGGAGAATAGGCCTCAGAACCACTGTGCTGGACAGCTCCTCCCGCACCTTCCAGGTGTGGCTGCAGGGCTCCGGCCCCGCCCTGCACCCCAAGGTGGGTTCGGATTGGACTGCATACCGCTGGCTTCGAAACGATTCAAATTCAAGATTTGAAGTACTTTCTCTATTGAACTCACATCGTTTTTCACAACTGTAAAGTCGAAAATTCTAAATTGAGTCATAAATCTGGAACCGTCGAGTTGCAAGTGCACCCTAAACTCTGAGTACCACGTTTTTGGGATTACAGCTCAAAGTATTGTTAGCCCCAGCACCTGCATTCCTCGTTTTCCTGTTACCTCTGCTCTCGAATTACTGGAGAATCGGCTCGCGTTACTTTTCCAAAGGCTGCTGCTCTGATCCTGAGGGGCTCTTGCAGTTGCGCGTGCTAGCCACTGGAGGTCACTGTCGACAGCCGTCTAGCAGAACAAGGACTGGTGGCACCGTCCTTGAACTGAGTCTGGGGCCCCTTCCCTAGGCCTTACTGAGCCACATTCCCAATCCCTTTTTAATTTTTCAAATTTTGGGACAGGAACTTGTTAAATTGCTAAGTTTCCCAGACTGGGGTCTAATTTGTGATAGATCTGCCTCAACCTCCCAGAGTGCTTGGATTCCAGGAGTGAGGGTGAATTTGCTTTCCTGGAAGTTGGTCTCTCAGGGTTCACCGCCTGTAGCGTCCAATCCATTCATTCCCCAGTGACTGGGCTCAGCAGGGGTCTGCGTGTTTCCCCTCCCCAAGGGCCAGGAGGGCTCTCCTTTGGGTTTTGAGCTTCGCACTCCCTTACCCCACCGAGTTCAGCCCTCACCTTTTCTCCGCCCAGCCTGGGAGTGACTGCTCCTAGAGCCGGGCTTCAGGACCTGGGCCTGTTTCACCACCTGCCAGGCTCACTGGGCGAGGTTCCTGGGATTTCTATTGTGTGCCAGGCCCTGGGCACACCCTTCCTCTGGAATCCTCCTCCGCATCTCCGTAGGGTCTCTGGGGCCCATTTAAAGTTTGGATCTGAGTCTAGCCGTTCCCTGCCTTATTGGATTATTCAGTGATATTCAGCCACATCCTGCTCCCCGCCACAACAAAGTTCTTAGGTCCCCTGCAGGGTGCCCCTGGGCCCTCTGACTTCTCCCTGGGTGAGGTGGGGAGGTATGGGCAGCTTCATTAGAGAGGGGACTTGAGGAGCAGAAGCTGGCATCCTGCAGAGCCCAGGCCCCCTGAACCTTCCTCCTGCCTCCCCACCTGTTCTCCTGGCCTTTAGAATTCAGCCTTCCTCTCCACTATCTGCCGTATTACCGCTGTCAGAGGCAGAAATGTGGTTTTCTGGTCTCTCTTTGCTAAAAATTTACCCATGAACAGTTTTCACCTTCCACGTGTCTCTGAATTCATGCCTTGATTGCCCTGCCCATTCATTCATTCAGCCATTGCCACTTTTCCCACATTGTCTTAGCTTAGACCCCCCCACCCCATTGCTCACTGGATTTCCGTTTTGCAAGTCTCCATTCTTGCTCTCCAATTCATTCCCAACACCACAGCTCAATCTTTTAAAAGCAAATAGCGTCCTGCTCTCCTGTTTGAAACCATGCAAGGGCTTCCCGTCCCCTCTCCGTGAAGTATTAGGAGTCATTAGCCAGTATTCATGCTTCCCTACATGGCCTCTTCTGTTTCTTGGGCCTCATCTCCTGCCCTCTTTCCTGGATGCATCCTTCTGGCTATGCTGATCTAGTCCAGGAAGGACACATGGCTCCTCCTGGCCTCCAGGCCTCTGTATCTGAGACCCCCATGCTGAGAATGCCGTCTGCTTTCTTGGTTGAATCCCATGTGTCTACCAGGCTCCTGCAGATGGTGTCCCTGTCTGGAGGTGGGGTGTGTGTGCCTTGTCTGGGGCTTTCAGCACTCCCTTCCACTGCTCTACCCATTGCTTACAGAGGGGTTTCTCCTCCTGGACTGCAGGCTCTCGGAGGGCAGGACAGTGCTGTAGCCATATCCCCTCACCCCAGCCCAGCAACAAACTGACACAAGAAAAATCAAAAGCCTTTCTCAAGAACCTGTACTGCCTGCCACCTGTCAGAAAATGGTGAAGACAACTTCACTCAGCTGTGTGTCTCTGGGAGTTGTGTAAGCGGTGGCCCCAGTACGCATGAAACAAATTAATGTTAAGTAAGCACACACATAAGTGTTATTTAAAGTGGAAAAATGCTGTCCTCTTGCAACAACCAGCCTGGTGGTGCTTTGGGATCAGTGAGGCTGCTCATGGAGATTGTGATGAGGAGAAACTTACCACTATCACACTCCTTCCAGGTCAGAGGACTGAGCAGGTGCCTGAGCATAGAGGAGAACACAATTCCTGAATAAGCTGGCCATGTGAGGCACCGTTAGGGTGAAGATGTCTTCATTTTTCAGGGAGGGAAAAACGAAGACTCAAAGAGATGAAAAGTTGTCCAGGCCAGACAGGGAGCCAGCAGCAGAATTCACTTGTTACTGAGTGTCCCTGTCTCCCTGGAGTTGTAAACCCCCAAATCCAACAGTGCTGTAGGACAGGAGTTTTAGGGCTTGGTTTGCAGTGTAGTGACCACAAAGCCTGTCCTGGGGCATTGGCCAGGTAAGACTCTACACCACAGTGTGATGAGGTTTCCTGGTGTACTTAGGATGGGCCAGGGGGTCCCTGAGACCACGTTTGCTCCCTGGAATGGCTTCCTCCTCCTTTTTTCTCTGGAAAATGCCTTTCGATCTTTCCAGGCTGTTCTAGTTCATTTTCTGTTGCTGTGGTAGAACATCTGGCCCTGGGGAATTTTGAAAGGAAAGAGGTTTATTTTGTCTCACTGGCTGGAAGAGCAAGAGAGATAGGGAGGGGACAAAGGAGCTGACCTGCTTTTAGCAACCTGCTCTCCAAGAGTTAAGCTGTTCCTATGAAAATTAGCCTGGTCACACAATGTGTGTCCTTCTGAAAGGCCCACCTCCCAAAACTGCTACATGCGCAGTGCACCTTTCAGCATGTATTTTGGTGATAACAAGCCACGGACCTGAGGCAGTTCTATCTCCTGTTGTGGCCGCAGCTCCCTACACAGTGAGATCAGCTGAAACCGAGAAGACTGTATTGGCCCTTTTTATTTTTGAGGGATTGGGAATTGAATCCACCACCTTTGCACTGAGCTATGTATCCAGCTCTTGTTTTATTTTTTATTTTGAAAAAAAGATTTCTCTAAGTCACTAAGTTGGCCAGGCTGGGCTTGAATTTGTGATCCTCCTGCTTCAGCCTCTCAGAGTTCTGCTGGGATGACAGGACTGTGTGACTACACTTGGCTTATGGTCTTTTGCAAAAATGTTGCCCTTCATTTTCTTCATTTGGATAGAGGTATTTATTTGTTTTATTTGCCCAGCTTGAGTTCCTTTGTCATCTCTCTATCCAGTTTAGGGCCAAGTACATTCTTAACTATTTAATTGGGTGCATTCAGTCATCCAGAAATGATTGTGGCCTAAGGGCCTGTTCTAGCCCTGTAAATCCTGCGGGTGAGCAGACCGGAGATACTTCTTCACCTGCTTGGTGGAACTCACAGCTTGTCGAATGTTCTGCGCCTACACCAGGAGCAGGGCCAAGTGCCTTATGAGGGACAGAAGGATGATCAGATCCAGAGATGTCCTGGTCAGGGAGGAGGTTCCCCACTGCTGTGGAGGACGGTGCTGTCTTTCAGCACAGGTCAACTTCCCTGTGTCCTCCCAGGCCTAATGGGAAGCATGCTGGGGCAGTGTGGAATGGAGCCATGGGCAAACTGCCTCTAGGAAGATCTCACTCTGCAGGGAAAGGTGAGCTGTGCAGCCAGGGCCAACTGTGCAAGCTCTCCACAAAGAGCTCTCAGATCTTAGAGGCAGGGTCCTGGGTGGATGCTGATGAAGAGGTGGTTTTCATGTAGGACCTGGACTGCAATAGGTGTGGTTCCTTCTCTTCCCTTTTCTCACTTTGAGACTTCTCTTTTGAGATCCAGAAGCAGCAGCAGCAGCAACAACACATGCACGCATGTTTTCAGGCCACTTGTTTGTGACAGGGCTCTGCCTTTAGAAACACAAAGAGGAGGAAGGCCAGAGAGAAAGGTGTGCTGGAGTCGTGTGTGAGCTGTGCAGGAACAGTTATCAAAAGGTTTCCCCACAGCACCTCTCTGGGGGCTCCAAGCCTCTGTGGAACTCACAAGAGTGGATACTGGGGCTCCTGGCTAGTGCCCTTCTATTGTGCCCTCGCCAGGTTTGTGCAGTGTGCACTCTGGGCTGTCAGTCAAGGCCAACAGTGTGTCTCTCCCTTTGTAGTGCACAGGATCAAGGCGGCTGATGAGGAGCAGAGCCGGCGAGCTCAGCGTGCCCGGGATGAGTATCAGCGGCACTCATTCCGGGCCATCCAGAAGGGCACTGTGGCTGGGCTCAGCTCCATGTTTCAGGAGCTTGGCCAGAACCACGAGCAGGAGGCGCGACTCTACCACCATCTGCCTGGCCCTGGCCCACCCCTGCCCCTTGCTGTGCCTGTTGGGTGAGTCATGGGCTCTGGAAGATCCTTGAATTGGGGTGGGCAGAAGGGGGCTCCAGCCCTGACCCACCGGTCATTTCCCCTGTGGCCTCAGTGTCCCAGAATGTGTGATGGGGAGAAATGTGGGGCCAGTACTTTTCTTTTTATATCCAAGTTGTTAAACTCAAGGGGCATACATTATATTATCCTTGTAATATTTTTTAAATTTATTTTTTTCCCGTTAAGTTTATTGGTACATTTAAAGCAAACAATACAGTTACATTTATCATTGGGATCTTGTACCTTTACGTGATATGTCTCGGTTCCCGTTACCCGTTAAGTTTATTGGTACATTTAAAGCAAACAATACAGTTACATTTATCATTGGGATCTTGTACCTTTACGTGATATGTCTCGGTTCTTGTTTTTTCCCCATACCCCTGCCCTCCCTTCACCCCCTTCACCCTTCCCTATTCACAATGACTTTGTTTCCATTTTTTCCTTTTTTCAAATTTTTTCTTTTCCCTTATTTCCTTTCCCCTGTCCTTCCCACTTCCCATTTAGCCATTTTCTTTCTATTTCACACTACCAATTATACCACTTGAACCTTATTTACATTTAAAATTTTTCACACCAGAGAAACTATTTGGTATTTCCTTAACTGTGTCCTATTTATTTAACTTAAGAGTATAGCCTCAATGTGCACCCATTTAGCTATAAATGTGTCTAGTTTCTCATTCTTTATGGCTCAGTAGTATTCCATTTTATAGAAAAACCCCATCTTCTTTATCTAGTCTCCAACTGATGTGCAACTGGATTGCTTCCAAGTTTTAGCTATTATGAATCATGCTGCTATAAACATAAGTGCTCATATATCACTGTGGTATGATTCTTTTAATTCTTTTGGAAAGATACCCAGCAGAGGGATAGCTGGATCAAATGGAACCTCTAATCCTAGTTCTTTGAGGTATCTCCATATTGATTTCCACAGTGGTTACATCAGTCTACACTCCCACCAACAATGGAAAAGAGATCCTTTCTCCCCACAGCACTGCCAGCATTTGTTATTGGTTGATTTCTTGATAGCAGCCATTCTTTCTGGGGTAAGGTGGTATCAGTGTTTTCATCTGCATCTCTCAAATGACCAGTGATGTGAACATTTTTTCATATATTTATTTGCTGCTCTTACTTCTTTGTCTGAGAAGTGTCTGTTCATTTCAGATGCCCATTTTTGAATTGTATCTTTGTATTTGGGAGGGGGGGTCTGAGTTTTTGAGTTCTTTATTTATTCTAGATAGTAGTCCTTTGAGGAGTAGCTGGTAAATTTTTTTTCCCACATTGTAGGTTTTCTCTTAGCTCTGTTGGTGATTTCCCTTGCTCTGAAAAAACTTTTTAATACAATGAGATCCCAGTTGTTTATTCTTTGTGCAAATTCTCATGCTGTTGAGAGTTTGTTCATAAAATCATTTCCTATGCCAATGTCTTTGAGAGTTTTACCTAATTTACTTTCCAGTAAGTTTAGTGTTTCTGTTTTGATATTTATATCTTTAATCCACTTGGATTATAGTTTAGTGCATGGTGAAAGATAGGATCTAGGTTTAATGTTTGGCCAATTGAAATCCAGTTTTTCTAACACTACTTATTAAAGAGGCTATCTCTTATCCAGTGAGGATGGTTGGCCCCTTTGTCAAAGATGAGGTAGCTGAGTATGTCTGGTGTTGTTTCTGGATCTTCTAATCTATTCCATTGATCCACAGGTCTGTTTCTTTGCCATTACCATGCTGTTTTTATCAAAGTGGCTTTGTAGTATAGTTTCAAGTTGGGAATTGTGATACCCCTGCCATGTCTCTGTTGCCTAGGATGGCTTTGGCTATTTTAGGTCTCTCTGGGTTCCAAATGAATTTTTGGATTATTTTCTCAAGTTCTGTGAAATATACTGTTGGGATTTCAATCAGTATTGCATTGAATCTGTATAGCAGTTTTGGAAGTATGGCCATTTTCACTATGTTGATTCTTCCTACCTAGGAGCAAGGGATGTCTTTCCATTTTCTTATATCCTCTTCTGTCTCTGTTTTTTTTTTTTTTTGAGTGCTGTAGTTTTCAATGTAGAGGTCTTTTGTATCCTTTGTTAGATTGATTCATAGACATTTCATTTTTTAGATGTTATTGTGAAAGGAATTGTTTTCCCAATTTCTCTCTCAGTGCATGTATTTTTTATGTACAAGAGGGCTATTGATTTTTGAGTGTTGACCTTATATCCATCTACTCTACTGAATCTGTCAATTAAGTCTAGAAGTCTTTTGGCAGAGTTTTTTGGGTCTTCTTTGTAGAGAATATCATATCATCAGCAGATAGTGACAGCTTAGCTTCTTCCTTTCCTATCTTTATTCCTTTTGCTTCTTTCCCTTGTCTAATTGCTGTGGATAATGTTTCCAAAACAATATTGGACAGGAGCGGTGATAGTGGACATCCTTTTCTTGTCCCTAATTTTAGCTTGAAGGTTTTCAGTTTTTGACCATTTAGTATGATATTGGCTGTTGGTTTTTCATAGATAGCCTTTATCAGGTTGAGGTAAAGGCAATCTATTCCAATTTTCTGCAGGTTTTATCATGAATGTATGTTGAATTTTGTCAAATGCTTTTTTTTTGGCATCTATTGAGACAATCATATGGTTTTTGTCCTCGACTCTGTTAATACAGTGTATTACATTTATTGATTTACATATGTTGAACCATCCTTGCATCCCTCGGTTAAACCCAACTTGATTACAGTGCATGATCTTCTTGATGATCTTCTGTATTCTGTTTGCCAGTATCTTATTAAGGATTTTTGCATCTATGTTCATTAGGGAGATTGGCCTGTAGTTTTCTCTTTTGGTTGGGTCATTCCCTGGGTTTGGAATCAAAGTAATACTTGCTTCCAGGAATTAATTTGGAAGTATTGCTTCCCTTCCAATTTCACTGAAGAGTTTAAAAAGTAGTGGTAATCGTTCTCTCTAAATGTCTTGTAAAATTCATCTAAAGCCATCAGGACCTGGGCTTTTCTTTGTTGGTAATGTTTTCATTATATTTTCAATTGCAATAAATATATTTGAGGTGTTTAGACTTTTTATATTTTTTTGTTCAACTTTGGAAGTTCATATGTATCTAGGAATCTGTCCATGTCTTCTGTATTTTCCATTTTATTAGAGTACACATTTTCAAAGTAGGTATTGATGATCCTCTGGATTTCTGGTGGGTCTGTTGTCACTTCACCATTTTTCATTCCTAATTGCATGAATTTAAGCCTTTTCTTTCCATTTTTTGATAAAGTTGGCTAAGAGTTCATTGATTTTATTTATTATTTCAAAAAACCAACTCTATAATTCACTGATTTTTGTATCATTCTCTCAGTCTCCATGGCATTAATTTCTGCTCTGATCTTTATTTCCTCCCATGTATGAGCTTTCAGTTGGTCTCACTCTTCTTTTTCTAGCAGTTTAAGGTCAAGCATGAGGATGTTTTTTTGAGCTCTCTGTGTTTTCCTAGTATGGGCACTTACTGCTATGAATTTCCCTTGTAGAACTGCTTTCATTGTGTCCCATAGATGTTGTATTAACATTATAATTTAGTTGTAGAAACAGTTTAATTTCTTAATTTCCTCTGTGACCCAATGGTTGTTCAGCAGTTATATTTAATTTCCATATGTTTGTGAATTTCTTGCAATTTCTTAGGCTATTGATCTCAAGTTTAATTGCACTGTGGTCTGATAGTATACAAGGGATAACTTCAATTCCTTTGCATTTACTTAAGCATGTTCTATGAGCTAGCATGTGGTCTGTTTTGGAGGATGACTCATGTGCAGCCAAAAAGAATGTATATTCTGATTTTTGTGGGGTGGAACACTCTGTCCAAATCTAGTAAGTCTGTTTATTCTCAGACTTGGCTCAGTTCTGTTATTTCGTTGTTGATTTTTTGCCTAGATGATCAGTCTATTTGCATTAGTGGAGTATTGAAGTTCCCCACTACAATTGTGTTAGTGCTTATTTGGTTTTTTATATCCATTAATATTTGTTTTATATAGTTGGGGCATTAGTATTCAGTGCATATATATTTATGATTTTCATGTCTTCCTCTTGTACTGTTCCCTTTACATGGATGTAGTGGCCTTCTTTGTCTCTCTTAATTAGTTTTGGTTTGAAATCTAATTTGTCTGCAAATAAGATAGCTACCCTCCCTTTTTTTTCTGGGCTTCTGTCACATGGAGAACAGTTTTCAATCCTTTTACTCTCACTCTATGAATTTCTTTGTGGATTAAGTGGGTTTTTATTTTGTATATAGCATATTGTTGGATTTTGCTTCTTAATCCATTCTACCAGTGCATTTCTTTTGATTGGTGAATTGAGGCCATTAACATTGATGGTTATAACTGTTATGTATTGACTTTTCATTGTCATGTTATTTTCCTGTTATTGGTTCTTCTATTTTCCCTCTCTCCCTTTAATTTCTTGCCTTGCCTGGTATATTTGCTCTGTTGGTCCTGATGGAGTTGCCTTCATTTTCTTTTTCCAGGATATTGTTTAGAAGTGTTCAGAGTGCCAGTTTGGTGTTCATGAAATTTCTCATATGTTGTTTGTTGTCGAAGTATCTTATTTCCTCATCAATTTTGAAAGATAGTTTTACAGGATACATTAGCCTAGGTTGTAGATTGTTTTCTTTTAGGACTTGAAATACGTGCCTCCAGGCTCTCCTTGAGTTGAGGGTTTGTGTTGAAAAGTCTGCTGTGATTCTGATGGGCTTTCCTTTGCATGTGATGTGTTTCTTTTCCCTAACTGTTTGTAGTATTTTGTTTTTCTGTTGGTTTTCCGGGATCTTAATTATTATATGTCTAAGTATAGATTTTGTTTTGATCATGGCTACTTGGAGTTGTATATGCCTCACTTATCTGTATATCAACATTTTCCCCTCTATTTCAGACATTTTCTGTCATTAATTCTGTGAACAGTTTTTTTTAATGTCATTTGTATTTTCTCCTGCTACTTCATG